GTTTGTGTAACTGTCATAGTGTTCGCGTGTGTCATTGTGCATTATGCATCACCACGCACTGTCTATATGAGACTGTGTGACTGCATATCTGCGTCACAATATATGTGACACTAAGTCTGTGCGTGTGTCCCTATGTATCGCTGTCACAGCATATGTGACACTAAGTCTGTGTGTCACTGTGTATCAGTGTCACGACACATGTGACACTAAGTCTGTGTGTGTTGTGACCCTGTGTATATGTCACATTGTGACTGCCACCACGTATGCGTCACTGCGTATCTGTGTGACATGGCGCATGTCACATACCGTAATGGTGCAGACCAGAACAAGAACCGACCTTTCTATATAGTACAGGGTAGCGCAGCGGAAGGCTAAAATATCAATGATAAGACCAATCAATGTTGCAATACAGATCAAGTATTCATCATCATCATCGCAGGGAGTGAAGTCTGTCCGCATGCATGTAAGTGAGAAGGAAGCGAGTCAAATTGCAGAAATAATAATAATAATAATAATAATAATAATAATAATAATAATAATAATGAAACAAATTTCACCATTTGCAGTAGTTGATGCAGATCCCCGGGCTCGATCCCTAGACCCCAATTACATGTCTATAGTACCTCGCAGGTTTGATCCCATGACCTGCACCGTAGGTGTCTTTTGCAGTTGTTGTAGGTCCGCGTAGGAGTTAGGTGTTGAACTGTGTACCTGTCGTGTAGGGGTCAAGGCTGCCCTAGTGGTCGTAACTGTAGGTAGTCCGAAAGGTTAAGGTCGTAGTTGCTGCAGTACCGATGGGTTAGGTACACGGTCTTCCTTAAGATCAGGGACATACCCCTCGTGAGTCCTAGGATGCAGTCCGTAGGCAAGTGGACAAATGGGCAGTCCTATATAGTCCGGTCAATGGTACCCTGTCCCGGTCGCACGTTGTCGAGTCAACAGGTACAATGTGGGATTGTGTGCTCCAAGGACCCGGCGGAGAGGAGAAGACTAGCGACCAAAAGAAGTATAAATCAAGATGCAGCGCCCAACCATTCGTTCATTCGTTGTGTAAGCCATGCGGAAGCGTTGCTACAACCTCTTGTGTGAGGTGGTCTGATGTCGAAGTGGGCCATTGAGGGAGATAGTCGGTCGTAGCTGGCCAAGGGGAAGACACCGGCGGCCATAGCCTTCAAGTCGTTGTCACAGACAAAGTGTATGTCCGTCTGTCTGGCTGTCTTTGTGTTCAGCTGTCTGCGTGTTTTGTATTCACGGACTGTTGCAAGGAAAATGAGCAATAGTGAATCCCAGAAACCAAACAGCAACATACACATGAAATCAAATAGTCTTGATCTTGAACCAAAAGCAGAATTGCAATACAAGTTTCACTCAAATAAGAAGACAACATAAGCTCATAAGCAACATTGCTGGAATAGTCTCATCATCATCAACGAAGAACCAATGTCGAATCTTCTACCTGGCGCTCGGCGCCCAGACTACTCTACCTGACTTTCCTACCTACAACTGTGTTCGCTCGACAGGCTCACCTCAACTCTCGAAGACCAACGCACATGACCGTCAACACCGTAGCCGCTATAGTTCCGAAAGGCCAAACCCACGACATTCCGGAAGCTCTGGAAGCTGGCCCTTCGGAGAGATCTGCGTCTCAGTCAAAGGTAAGTGGCCAAGTGGTGAGTCTTACCTTGCAGAGTTAGCGGTACCAGTCCCAGTCGCATTTTGTACAGTCAGCAAGTACTGTGTGGGTCTGTGTGCACCCAGGGCCCGAAGGAAGGAAGGCAGACCAGCGCCAACAGAAGTATAAATAAAGATGTAGCACTCAGCCATTCATTCAGTTGTTGCATAAGCCATGCGGAAGCGCTGCTCAAGCGGCTTGTGCGAGGTGGTCTGCAGTACGTCCGAGACGAACTGGGCAGGCGGAGTTAGTATAAGTTAGTAGAGGTTAGAGACGGCGCCCATCGCCGCTATAGCAGTAGAGTGCAGAGTGACTGTGAGTCTGTGTGTGTGTGTGTGTATTCAAGGTGATCCAGAGTAAGAGTGTTTGCATGTGAACTGCGAGGGAAACAGTTCGGGAGTGGGATGTATCTGTGTCGTTGCCCCATAGCCAGTTGAAACGAGCTCGTATTTGAACTGTGTTTTTGCATCCATATCTCTGAGCTTGGTGTGGGCGCCCAACGCCAGTCTACTCACCATCTGTTCGCATGCATGTAAGTGAAAAATAAAGCGAGTCTGATTACACATATGTGTGCTGACTTTGAACTCAAAGATCTATGTACATGACGTCAACACCGTAGCCGCCCTCCTTCGTGGACCAGGTACGTATCTTGCGTTCTCCTTCTTTCTATCTCTCTCTCCTCTGTATCCTTCTCTCTGTTTCATCCTTTGTGTGTATGCGATTCTCTTTCCGTCTCTGTGTCCGTTTGTCTGACCATGTTTGCCCGTCTGTTTTGTTCGTTTGTCCGACTGTGTTGGGTCGTCTGACTGACTGTGTTCACTTGTCTGACTAACTGCGCTCGCTTGTCTATGTCTACCAGTCAGTCTGTTCACGTCTGTTAGTCCATCTGTTTACTTGTCTGTCCGTCCGTGTCTGTTTGTTTGCTATCTGTCTGCCCAACCAGTCTGTCTGTGTGCTCGGTAGTCTGTGTGTCTTGCCTCGTCGGACTGTAGCAGGGAAGATGAGCAATAGCGAAACCCAGAAAACAAGCAGCATCATGCACATGAAGCAAGATAGTCTTGGCCTCGAACCAAAGCAGAAATGTAACGCTAGTTTCACCCAAATAAGAAATAGCACGAGCTCATAATTGACCATGCTGAAGAAGTCCCACCATCATCAACAAAGAACCAATGTCGCTCTTCCTATCTGACGCTCAGCGCCCAGACTGCAAGTGCCAGATCCTATCTAGCCTATGTCTACAATGCTAATGATGACGTCGACAACCCTCCGAAGTAGGAGCAGATATCGGCCAATGCCGAACACGTCAAGCATCAGGTATGTCCCTCGTATCACTCACAACCTTGCTCCCAACACAGTATGCCACATGTACCTCAAGTAATGATAATAGCAATTAATAAAACAATAATAAATAATAATAATAATAATAATAATAATAATAATAATAATAATAATAATAATATACAAGGGAAATAAGCAACAGCAAGATGACAATTCCATATCAAACCATCACATTGTCCAGAGAGCAACATTATACCTATAATACACCATTGGAGGTTCTTAGCACTGAATACCAATGTCCAAGGAGAGCATATTCTCTCCTCTCAGCACAAGAGTCCAGTTCCTTCACACTCACACTTGGCGCTCAGTGCCCAGCCTGCTCCTACACAGCTACTACAGGCTACAGCCTACGAATTGACAAGGCAACTATTCACTTTCAGCGGCAACCCGAAGTACTTGAAGATGTCGCCCACGCAGACCATCGCCATTACAAGGTAAGTGCCCTCACATCATCATCATCATCATCATTCACCTACCCCCCCTGACTATATACCCACTTTTGTCCTCTGTTACACCCGAAGACCTCCCCTGCGCCTCACTGTAGTCCATGCCCACCTGCCATGGTGGTTGGGCTTTGGCGTCATAGGTAAGTCTCCCTCTCCCTCTCTCTCTCACACACACACACACATATGCATACATGTGTAGTACGTGGTAGTGTATGTTTCCATGTTCTAGCTGTAGATTCATTCAATTTTATTTTTATTTATTTATTTATTTATTTATTTCGTTTATTTTATTTTATATTGACACGAGAGCCATAACAACAGTGTGCATCTTGGAAGATTTCCAGGAAAGCAAAACGCAAAGAAGAAACGAAGTAGTACGTGCCAGAGTCACATAATGGACAGCTTGGCACAATCCTACGCATATACAGACGAAGAGGAGGACAATCAGACGAAGAAAAAAGGATCAGACAAAGAGGAGGGGGAATATAGGAATGCCGTCAACGCCAAGTCTTCGGTATAGGTCCCTCGTCCAATGTCTCAATCCCAATGTCGAGTCTGAACCCAATGTTATTAAGTCCCAAAGTCACGAATCTCTCTCTCTCCCTCTYGTTGACGTCGTCGCCTTCTATCCTTCCACTTCCCCTCATTTCTTTCTCTCCTCCTCCTTCTCCTTCTTCTCATTCTTCTTCTTTCTCTAAATGATAAGGTTCACATAACTTCTCACAACACCCCCAACGGCAAATCGCCACATCACCGCCATCCAGCCACTTTTCCGGACCAATCAATCTGCAGGAATGACGGAGGGGTGTACAAAGAGTCGGGACGTCATCAGCGCAAGCTGATGACTCACGGACTAGGCATCCCTCGTTCAAGATCAACACTTACAACGATCTATTCCCGACACGATGAACCTTAGGAAGATTGCTCGGTGCTTTCGACCCAGGCAATCGATCCGTTGGATTCATCAGTGTAGCGCGCACTGGCCCAGGTACGTAACTCGTTCTCTCACACACACACACACACACACACACATACACACACACACACACTCGCGCACACACTCGCGCACACACACACACACACATTCCATCGATAGGATGAGCAAAAACGGAATGAATCTTCCGCTGAAACGTGAAATATACACTGCCACTTTTTGATTTGCTCATTCTATCGATCCTAGCAGCGTGCGGTGAGGCGCGGGTTGGAGACTTAGCCGTCGGCCAAGGTTGGAGACTTTTCGTCTCTTCTCTCTCGCTCACACACGCAGACACACACCCATACACGTGCGCACACACACACACACATTCCATCGATATGATGAGCAAACACGGAATGAATCTTCCACTGAAACGTGAGAATATACACTGTCACCTTTTTTTTGCTCGTTCTATCGATCCAAGTGGCGCGCGCGAGCCATGAGGTGGAGACTTAGCTCTCTCTCCCTCTCTCACACACACACTCACACACACACACACACACACACATACACACACGTAGTCCATGTATCTCTCCAGTTTCTAGCGTTAGATTCATTTATTTTATTTGATTTATTTGCTTATTTATTTATTTATTTATTTCCCTCGTTTTGGTCGTTGACAATGTCGGGGTGAGCCACGAGACTCGAGACTCACTTGTTCTCACTTTCTTGCTCCATCGTTGCCGTCGTCGTCGTCGTCAGCAGTCCGTAGATGCGTCGCATTCTCCAGCGGAAAACCGTCGAGATCACCACGATCCTGACACTTCACCGGACCATTCAATAGGTAGGAGCGACGGAGGTATGTACAAAGGGCAGGGGCGTAATCAGCACGAGTTGATAACTCGCGCTTACTAGGTGTTTCCTCGTTCAAGATCGATAATTACAACAGTCTATTCCCCCCCTGTCGCGGTGAGTCCTCGTTCTCTTTTCCCTCTTCTTCTTTTTCTTTTTCTTTTTCTTCTTCTTCCTTCCAGTGCACCTCCTTCCTTCTGCGCGGCCGTCTCTACTAGTGTCTGCACGACTCTACCTGCCGACCAGCCATCTCTTTCTCCTCCTCCTCCTTCTTCTTCTCCTTCTTCTTCTTCTTTCCCACACTTCTGTTTTTCGCACGGCCGAGTTCACTCTTTCTCCTCGCTGTCGTGCACTACCTTTGTTGCCATGCCCGGGCCCGTCGTTGACTATATCACCCTCCACTCACTGTGTTGCCCGCACGTTCATGCTCTTCCCGTCCCGGCATCCACCTTCCTCCTTGGCGCATTGGCTCATCGGCACCCATCTCCCTTTCTCACGGCTCCTCCTTTCCTTTCTCCCTTCTTCTTCTTCTTCTTCTTCTTCTTCTTCTTCTTCTTCTCTTCCCTGCGCCTGTTTCCTCTCGTCTCGCAACCTTTCTCCTCGTCGCTCTGTTCGGAGCTTTCCCCCCGCCTGGACACCGAGGTTGCGAGTTCCCCCTCTCTCCCTCGCGATCCGCTTTATCTCGCTCTTCGCCTGAGCTCTGGGCCAAATCGAGCGAGCCTCACGACTTCGAGGCCGGGATACGTTGGTTATCGGGGCACTTTTTAATGCATCTGTCGCGGATCTCGCGACAGATTCATCAAAACAAAATAACTACGGTAAAAAAAAGAGGAATAATAACAGAAGGAAACTAAATTTTAAAGATAATAAAATAAATAAAATAAAAATAAAAAAAAATAGGATAACCTATCCACTAGTGTAGCGGACCCACCAGGTGTGGTGCTCCGCTAGTGACAGAGATGGATGGAGGAAGAAGGGGGGAGCGAGATGGCACAACGCAGCTGCCCACGCAAGACTCCAACGCACGTACTCCAAATGTGCAAGTGAAGAATGCCTGAAAACAGACAATGACTGGGGTATACCCCAGCGGACTGACAGGACTAGACTGGACTGGCTGGTACCGAGAGAGGTACCGGCCTGGACTGACCTACCCCGAATAAAACATAGGCCTGTGAGAACAGGCCAAGGGGCTGGTCTCACAGGCCAACCCGAGGTCCGCTACACGATCCTCGGCCTGTGATGGATCGCCTAGATACAAACATGCTTYCRCCRAGAAGYGGAACTCWACCAMAGAAAAGAAAACCTGAGTAGTCTAGGATGCGGAGCAAGCTCCGTGCTGAGTCCATGCGATGCAACCTAGGATATAAAATGTCACAAAACAGCAATGTTACAGCTAACAGCCTAAGTGAAAGTAGAAGCAACTAACTAACATACATGTCCTAGGAAAGCAAAATCAACTAACTAGCTTACATGTCCTAGGAAAGCAGAACGTAGTGACAACTAGATCCTAGAATGTTGGAGGCACTAGCCTCAGTCTGGTAACAACTGACTAGTGTATAAGTCCTAAGAACAGCAAAAGCAGAACAACTAAATCCTAGAAATGTCGGACGCAGTAGCCTCAGTCTGAGAGCATCAAAGCAATCAACAAGACAACCATATGTCACATGAGAAGTGTGTCGCAAACCAAAGGGTGGGATGGTCTCTGAGGGTGGCGAATGCAGCCTAGGGGTCGAAAACTCCTAAGGGCATCCACACATAGATAACAGGGAGACACATGTCATCACGCTCAATGAGGGTAGGGAACTGGGAGCGAACAGAACCAATGACCCTAACAGATAGACCATCAGGGCGGGTAAAGCTCGGCTAAGGGGTGACCACTATGGAGGGTCGACCATGCACGGGAACAAGGGAGCCTGGTATACTGGGCGCACCTAGATGAAGCATGCAGGGCTGCCTAACTAGGGCGTGAGGGCCGACAGAGGGTAGGAAGGTGATGGGTAAGGGAATCATGCAGATGACCCCTAAGGTGGGGAAGTCGGAGCTAGATCCGTAAGATGGGAAGCCAGGGCAACGCTATGGTCCCGATGCCTATGGGCATACCAAGGGAGAGCCCAACTCAGAGGAACCCGGCTAAAGGGAGACCATCATGCGACACAAGCAGGGTACTGTACAGGGTAGAGTGGTAAGAGAGTGGCGACGTCTGAAGTAGGCAGAGCTGATCGTGATAAAGTCCATGAAGCTGCCGATGACGTCCACGATGAGAAGTCCGGAATGCCGTCGAGGAAGAGTCGTAACGTCGACGAGCTAAAGTAGCAAAACTGGAGTGGATGGAGTACTGGGAAGTCAAGGACGTGGGAAGGTAAGTTAGAGTCAATCGTCGTATCGAGCAGGACGACGACGAGTGCGTTGTGGACGCTCAGAAGCATCCGGCTGCTGCTGAAGGTCTGCCTCAGATGGAGCAGGCTCGACTTCAGCGGTCTCCTCAACCGGGGGAGAAGGAGGAGGGTCAGTGGGCTGAGGAGGAGCAGTGAACCCAGCACGATGAGCACGGTCATAGGCACACACCAGCATGCGAGCGTGCTGCAAGTGCTCGAGGGGCTCCCAGGTAGCCTCCTCATCAGGGTAACCTTTCCAACGTACGAGACACTCGACGTGGGGAGGGTTGTCGTCGGTGACTCGGCGACCAATGATGTCTGAAACGAGAAACTCCTCGTGGCCGTCCACCATGAGGGGTGAACGACGCTCGTATGGTCGTTCAGTGAAACGCTCAGACGGTCTGCGGTAAGGACGCAGTAACGAGACGTGGTAGACATCATTCACACGAGCCTGGCGTAGGTAGTCGGGCAGCTTCACACGAAAGCTGACCGGGCTAGATGCCGTATCAGAACCGATGGCCTGGAGATGCGGCATGGGCCAAAGAAGCGACACCGAAACTTGCGAAGCATGTCCGCTTCGAGCTGTAAGTAGAGGGCGTCGATAAGCACATCATCACCGACTTTGAATGGATGGTCCATCCTCGATCGGTTCGCGCGTGCTGCCATGCGAGTCTGGGAAGCGGCTATGTGCTCATGTGCGGTCTTCATGATCGACGTCATGTGTGCAACCCAATCATCCAGCGCGGGACAACTTGTGTCGGGGTGCATCTGTGACGGTCGAAGAAAGTCCGCGGGAACACGAGGGTGATAGCCGAGGTCGCAATAGTAAGGCGACATCCCCGTGGCTGGCGAAACGGCGTGGTTGTTGGCTATCTCCGCATGGGCAAGATGGAGGTCCCACTGCTGGTCGTCACGAACAATCTTTCGGAAAATATCTCCGAGAGTCCTGTTCGTGATCTCGGTCTGACCATCAGTCTGAGGATGGTAAGACGAGGAGAAGCGGAGCTGAGTGCCGTACACCTCGCGGAGCCGTCGCCAGAATCGGCTGGTAAAGCGCRGGTCACGGTCAGATATGATGCTCAGAGGTAAGCCGTGGTCACGCACGACTCGGTCAAATACGATGTCGGCGACCTCACGTGCACTGATGGCATAGCGGCACGGAACAAAGCGTGCACGCTTCGTGAAGCGGTCGACGACGACCAGGATAGCATCATGACCGCGGGGGGTCGGAGGTCGAAGAGGACCGATAAAGTCCATCGAAATGGACTGCCAACGACCCTCAGGGATAGGAAGACGCTGGAGCAAACCATAAGGTAGGTGGTTCGCACTGTTCACCTCCTGACAGGTGGGACACTCTGCGACGTAGTCCTTCACAAAGTCCTTGCGCTTCGGCCAGACGTACAGGCGGCTCACACGAGCCAACGTCTTGTGGAAGCCCATATGACCGGCGGCTGCCTGGTCATGGAACTCTGCTACTGCTCGGACACGTAGCTGTCCAGTGGAGGGAACGCAAATACGGGGCTCTCTGGTGCCCTGTGAGCCATGCCAGTACACGAGACCGTTGTCCCCGAGAGAGTAGTTCGGGACGGTCTTGCCACTCCGAAGGGTCGTGTGGATGTCCCAATAGTGGGGGCAGTGGCGGTACTGAGTGCGAAACTCGTCGATCACCGAGTGGTGGACGGTGGTGACCGGGATGAAAGAGAGCTAGATCTGCTCCTGGTCGTGGTCAGGGCGCCGGGATAGGGCATCTGCGACCCGATTAGTCTCACCCTTGATGTGCTCAGTGGTGAAACTAAACTCGGATAGGTCGTGCCACCAGCGAGCCCGTTGAGGAGTGAGCTTCGGCTTAGTCAGAAAAGCCTGGACAACAGAGTTGTCCGTGCGCACCGTGAATGGTGCCCCGTGCAGGTAATGCCGCCAGTGCCGAGCGGCATAAACTACTGCAAGAACCTCACGTTCATCAGCAGTGTAGTTTATCTCGGCGGGCAGGAGCTGATGGGAGTAGAAGGCTATCGGACAATCACCTGAGCGAGACTCGACAGTGCCGTCCTCGGCGATGGTAGGAGAATAGTCAATAGAGGGCTCGTCAGTAGCTGGACGAGTAGGCGTTAGTCGGGAAGCAGTGGTAGGGGTAGGTGGTGGGAAGCGAGGGATACGAGGATGAGAGGAATCAGGAGAGGAGGGGAAGACCTGAGAAAGCACTGCTCCGACGACAAAGTCTGATGCATCGGTGGTAAGGATAAAAGGGCGATCAAAATCGGGTAGGTGAAGAACTGGTGCGCATGTCACCGCTTTCTTGAGGGCGCGGAAGGCGTCCTCGTGGAGGGGTGTCCAAGCCCAGGGTGGGTTCTTTCAGAGGAGGGTGGAGGTAAGGACGTAGGAATACCTACCGTATCCCCAGATGAAGTTACTATAGTAGCTGGTCAGGCCTAGGAAGCTGCGAAGCTGCTTGGCGGATGTGGGGGCGGGCCACTCCACAATAGCAGTGATCTTCGCGTCGTCCATGTGGAGACCCTGGTCAGACACGTAGTGTCCTAAGAAATCCACTTTGTGCTGGGCAAAGTGGCACTTGCTCAGCTTGGCGTAGAAGCCATGTCTGCGCAAGCGGTCAAGGACGTCGCGGAGGTGTCTGAGGTGCTCCTCAAGGGTACGACTGTAGACCAGGATATCGTCAAGGTAGACGAGAACGTACTGCTCCAGGATGTCCCTGAAGATGTCGTTCATCGCCCTCTGGAAGGTGGCGGGTGCATTGGTGAGGCCGAATGGCATCACTGTAAACTCGTAGTGGCCGAAGTGCGATCGGAACGCTGTCTTCGGCTGGTCGGCTGCAGCGACGCGGATCTGATGGTAACCGCTACGAAGATCAATCTTCGTAAAGAAGCGGTTGCCTGCTAGGCGGTCAAACAACTCATCGGAACGAGGCATGGGGTAGCTGTTCTGAACCGTGTAGCGGTTGAGACCGCGATAGTCGATGCAGAGACGAAGAGTTCCATCCGATTTGCGAGCAAAGAGGACGGGTGCACCCCACGGGGAGTTGCTGGGTTTAATGAAACCCAGTCGCAGTAGCTCCTCAAGCTGACGCTTGAGTTCGATGGCCTCAGGAATCGAGAGTCTGTAGGGTGCCTGGTGGTGAACACGATAGTCAGGCACAAGCTGAATGGAATGCTCGACGTCACGCATCAGTGGGATGCCCGCATACGAGAACGACGATGGGAAAACGTCGTGATACTCTCGGATGAGGTCACGAACTACGGGCTCCAGGTCAGCCGTATATCGTGCGAGTTCCTCAGCGTCAGCGTCAGCGCGCGACGGCGGGGTGGACTCGACGGACGGCGAAGGGACGGAAGTAGAGATGGGGGCCATGGAGATAGAGGGAGGATCTGGCTCCAAGGGATGAGCTCGGCGTCGGGACAGGGTGGATCATAGTGTAAGAGATCCGTCACGTCCACCATAAAGAAGGTGACGTCGTCCTGTCGAATAAAGTGAGCGAACTGCCGAGGCGAGGTGACAGTGATAGAGGGGGGTGGTGTGGGCACTGAAGGCTCCGGGGGAGGAGGATCGGGGCGTGGTATCGCCGTGGTACCTATGAAAGGTACGCGATACGTTTATCCACAGTTCGTTTTGAGAACGAGAGTGTTGGTCGCCCAATCGGCCTCGGTGTTGCGGAACCGACGAGACCACGGAGTGCCGAGAATGAAGTCGTACCCCGTCTCCATCACATCGAAATGTGCAGAGGAGCGGTGGCGACGAGACGCCGGGGAACGATCAGTCGGCTCGAGCGTGAGGAAGAAGGGGAGGTCGGTGACCGTCTGATCGAAGAAGCGCTGGGTCTGTTCATCCCCTAGGGGAACGGAGATGAGAGTCGGAGACCCTGTCGTGGGTAAGCGGGCTTCCTTCACCACGCGTGGGTGAATGAAGTCGCCGTGAGAACCGGAATCCCACAGTGCTTAGTACACCCTCGTGGAGGTCCCGAGTCGTACTGGGATGATTGGGAGGGTGTGATCAGGGTCAGAGAGGATGGCGAGAAGGCGACGCAGTGCAGCGACATGGAGGGTGACTCGCTCCTGACGAACCTGGAGCATGCTCAAGTCCAGAAGAGAGGACACAACGTCCTCGCGAGTAGCAAGCTGCTCGCTGCAACGGGCTGAGCGAATGGCTCGACGCGTCGGTAGTCGCGGCGGGGAAGGAGGGGAGACGTGGTCTGCGGAGGCGCAGACGGTACTGCGACAGAGGGCTGAGTACACTCTGTCGAGTCCTGCGACACCTCAACTCCAGTAGTGAGAGGAGCGAACCGCGACGGAGATGTCGGGAAGCCCACTACTGAGGAGGGCGCAGGTGTACACTGCACCGTGGCTAGGAGGCGCCKCRKGGACGTGAGGCGCCGGGGGGGGATTGAGCACGACGCTGACGAGAAAGGTCAGCGTAGTGGCGGTCGAGGGCGGTAGTGTAAGGGCACCGCGAGGAGGTATGACCGTCCAAGTGGCAGCGCAAACACCCACGTCGGCCCAAAATAGCCGCGCGCTCCTCAGCAGAAAGGACACCGCGAGGAGGGACGAAGCCCTGAGGGAGGTCCTCCTGAGGGACCTCAGGGGGCGACGAGCCAGTATGACCGGGGCGGCTGCGTGCCCGAGAGAGGGCGGAGAGCGCGAGCTGAAGGCGCTCAGCTTCAGGGAGGGTAGAGTCCTCCAAGTGATAGTGGACGGCCTCGCAGAGATCGAGGTCGTCGCTGTGGTCGCCCTCAGGTGACAGTGGGGCAACAACGTCCTGCTCACCATACTCCAACGCGCCAAAGCGGCGAGAGAAGTGGCGGCCCTGCTGCGTGGAACGGCGGGGGCGACCGCGGAGAGGGGAATGGCGCCGGGATGTGCCGTGAGAGGAGGAGGAGGCGTAGCCCGTGCGCTGGGGCTGGGAGGAGGAGGCGGGGTGAAGACGGGCTCTCATCCGCTGGTGGTCCCTGGCGGCCTCGTAAGCCTGTGGGGCCGATGTGAACTCGTACCGCCATAGCTCGGAGAGGTACTCGAGCGGAAGGCTGGCCAAGAAACGATCGATAAGGGCAGCCTCGGGGAGGAACGCCACGTCGCAAACGAGGCGGGCGTCCTGAAAGACCTGGATGTGGCGATCCAGGCCGGCAGCGCCACCAGAGCCGGACCAGCGTGTAGTGACGACACACTCGAAAGCGTCAGTCACGTCGTATCGGGCTCCAAAGCGATCCTCGAGGAACGCCTGGAAATCCACGAAGGTCGGAGTCCGACCCTCACGAAGGGAGTAGGCATAAAAATCCTCCCAGGCCTCGAAAGGACCGCCACGCAGGCGCATGGAGAGGTGACCCACCCACGTCTCGGGTGAGGCACCCATGAGCTGGAGTGTGCGGGTGGCAGACTGTAGCCACCGAGACACGCGTATGCCTGTACCGTCATACAAGGCGATGTCCGACAAGCGGATGAGTGGTGCGCCACCGTTTTGGCGGCGAGGGGATCGAGGAGCGGAGGCCTGTGCCACGGCTGAGTAAGTCGGCGCAGGTCCTGGGGAAAGGGGCGCAACCGACTTTGTGCCCGGGCCGCATGAGGGGGCGGTGGTGGCAACAGCGGCAGTTTGCGAGGGTGCTGCGGTAGAAGAGGTCGCAACAACCGCGGGAGTAGGAAGAAGGTAGGAAGGAGTTGTATAGGGTGCAGGGCGCGGAAAGCGAGCCTGCATGGGAGGAAGGGTAGAGGAGGTAGGGGGTGCGCCCGAAGGCGCGGCCACCTGTGAGGGTGGTGGTGGCTAAAGTCGTAAGAGGGCGAGGTCGGCCCGGAGCTGGGCAATCTCGTCCGCGAGACCTCGAACGTAGGTCGATCGAGGGGTGGTGGGAGGAAGAGTGGAGGGGGTGGACGCACAAGCGGCGCGGGGCATCCCAAAGGGGGGAGAGCCAGGTGGCGCTGCAGTCGTGCGAAGGGGAGGGAGAAGCGGGGCACCCGGAAAAGCTGAGACCATGGTAGCGGGTTGTTGTACCGTGGCCGTAGTGACCGGGATTTGGGCGGGTGCGCCCGTAGACAGAGGGGGGGCCTGGCTCGTGGCGGTCGTTGTGCTAGGGGCGTGGACAGTCACCAAGATGGCCGGGTCAGGGGCAACGGAGGAGGAAGCTCCGCCGTGGCCACCCTGTCGGAGGACGGGGAACCCGGACTGGGAGCCAGGAGATGACGGACACGCAGCGTCCTGGAGTTGCTGCATGCCGGCGGCAAGGGTCGCCACCTGCGCCTGTAAGGGCGCGAGGGCCGCGAGTTGCGCTTGGATGGGCGCAAGGGTCGCGAGTTGCGCCTGGATGGGCGCAAGGAGGGAGGTGAGGAGGGTATGTAGATCCCCCTGGGGCTAATGGCCCTGGTCCGCCGGCACGGGTGTGGAGCCTGATGCCGTGGTCATCGCCGTTTCGGCGGCGTGTGACGCACTGTCGGCCATGGGAAGATGACGGACCGGACTGGAGGGGGCCAGAAGAGGTCCGTGGGAGCGGACGGCGTAGGGAGAAGTTCGTGGTAGAAAGCGGTGAACGGCGCTAGCAAGGCTAGCACGGGCGCCGTCAAAGGGGGAGGGGTGGTTCGGATTCAGGGTGCCAGAAGAGGACGAGGAAGTAGGGGGGTTTTGAGGAACCCTAAACCCTACAAAACCCCTAAGGAAAACCCTAACCGAGGTTTAAGTGGTTAGCGTAGGGTACCGGTGACCTAATCAAGAAAGTAAAAGAGCAAGCATAAAGGGGGGGAAGGCGGGAGAAAAATAAATAAGCAGCGAGATGTCAAGAGAAAATAAAAATAAATAAGGAAATAAATCAATAATAAAATTAATTAAAAAAATAAGTAAAAGGATGGAAAGGGAAAATAAGATTTTTTTTTTTTTTTTTTTTTTTAAATTTCGGCAGCATTTCCCTACTCCCCACGGGGTCAAGAATGTGCCAAGGGAAAATGAGAGACCAAGGTGAGCACACTAGAGATGCCACAAATAATAAAAAGAAAATTTATGAAATAAATAAGGAAATAATAAATAAATAAATAAATAAATAAATGTGTGAGGAGGTGGGAAAAAATGGGTTATCTGATTTTTCAAAAATTTTGGCAGCATTTCGTTACCCCCATGGGGTTGAAGTGTGCCGAAAAGACTAAGTAAGAGAAAATCAGAAAATTTCGGCAGCACTTCGTTACCCCTACGAGGCCAAAACGTGTGTCGAAAGCAAGAAAGGCTAACACCTAATCAGATTTAGAGTTGCCCCCAAGAAATTCGAATTTTCAGAATAAATAAAAATAAATAAAATAAATAAAAAAATAAGAAAAGAGGGTGGG